ACAGTTAATGGCTTACTGTTTTAAAAAAATACTTTTTCACTAGCTAAACTTAATTCATGATGACAATATGTATCACAATTCATTATGTGTAGTGTTAACATTATTATCTCAACTATATGTGTTAAAAACAAACAAACTAGTTGTTGTCAACATAGATATATGATTAGGTCAATTAACGTTAAAATCTAGGTCATTTATTATAATTATTAAAACAAAATATGTCACACCTAATTACATCAACAAAAGTAAACAAATAATGAATACAAATGCATATTAGACGGGTAAACATGATGTTACTTAGATATACATAAATCAACAGAATATTATCTAATTTTGATTTATCCTGACAGTAAACGTGTTAAAAGAATTTTTGACATATCTCTATATATTTGATGTTATGACAATTAAGCTGGTTCTAATGCACAATTAAACTGAATAAAACATTGCACAATACTATTTTAAGTATGTCTATTGTTTAGATGACATTTCTTGACATAACACAAAGAAATTATACAATACACCATAGAAAAAGATACCTAAATTAGATTAAAATAATTATGTGCATAACATTCTTTGAACTGACAATCTTGAACCATCTTATTTTTCTACATCATAATTCATTAGTTCAGTTGATATGCTGATTAGATTTTGAATGGTTATAGATACACACACATACATAAACTGAATAATCCCTAATCATTGTTTCTCTCATAACTATTATATATAAATATGATTGATTAGTGTTTAGTGTTGTGTAACAAAGATTGATAGATATATTTCTTTTTGTCTTCTTATATTAGTGAAGACCCAAACGATCTAAGTCTCCAAGAACGTGCATGGTGTCCAGATGCTAAGGTTGGCAAAGAACTCCGTGAATTTATGGAAATTGATTTAGGTCGTCAAAGTATTATCAAGTTAATCATAACAAAAGGTCGAGTAGCTCAAAGTAAAGTGAGTTTCATATTCATCAACTTAGTTAATAAATCATTGAATAAAAACACTACAAAGCTGGATTTTTTTATATTGCTTGTTGCTATAAAATTTAATTATTTTTAGATTTCGGTCTAGTAAATTAAATGAATTAACACTCAATGAAATTATAAATCACGTCCGAAACATATCTGGAACTGCATAAACCAATTTGCACCGTGCTTAACATTTATTCTAACCTAGGTAACACAAATATCTTGACGGCCTCTATTCCAACGAAGTTGTCTCTAACCGTGGTACTGTTTGATTTTCTACTCTGTTAGTCAACAAATTTAGCATACAACAAAATAAAACATCAGATACTCATATCACAAAGAAAATCAAGTGTAGTCCCACTTACTATTCAACAACTTTTTCATAAATAAACAATAATCGACAAACATTTATTATTCTGATCTGCTATCATTTCCAATAAAGTGGTATTGTAACACAAATAATATGACATCGGTTCACACTTCATCAATTCTTACTGGTTTATAAATAACTTTAATTCACAAAGTAGTTAGAAATCGAATCTTTGTGATAATTACTAGTAGTGCCATCGTAAATTGCAATATAACATGGTAGAACGATAATAATGATGCTTTGGAATACAATCGGCAAATTATTCATTTTAAGCTATAACAATTAGGTTCCTTTGAAAAAAAAGTTATGGTACTTACATGCTTTGATAATAAATAGCAAGTAATGGGGTCAATAAAAGAAACAACCTATTACAAACAGTCTATTTCTAAAAGATGTAATGATATGAAGAAGTCTAATCACCTATTGTGTAAAATTCCGGTAAAATTGTTGAATTAATTAGTCGTACCGAAAAATGAGTACTAAATTGATTATTGATATATATATTTGATAGTTAAATTTCTTCTCGAAGTGATATTGTATTGAATGAGAACACAAGTGGAGAAAATCGAAAGTATTTGGACACAGAATTACAGAGCATCTTAGTAAAATCTGAGAACCACACAGTAATTACTTCATTTGCAAATGTCAATCAACCATCTCAGACTTCACAGTTCGTTCATTTCCACAGAAATTCACTAATATCTTTCTCTTCTCTTCGACGTTCTTAACCTTCTACTACCAGGTATTTCACTTTCGATTAATGATACATACTACTTACATCTGTCAACACCATAGCACAAGCCATAATATCGATTAAACATCTGATTCATTAAATTAGGATTCTCTCTCAGGGTTTGCTTTTTTAGTGCTATCCAAACACAATAGTCCATTGGAATGAGTCTACAAACTCACAATACCTAAGAGAGGATAATACATTCAAACTACTGAATCAAACTGTAACCGTTCATATTTTTTCTACCTAATCTAACTTATGATATAATGTTGTTCACATCCAAAATTATAAGTGTACTAATCTCTTTGGTTTCTTCAGCTGTCCTTCATGGTTACATTCACCACTAAATTACATAAAAACTTTAATGTTTTCAACAATTGATTTATCAAACTAAAGAAGATATATTCACTACTCTAAAAAGAATTTGAGATTCTTTAACATTCATCTCAATCAATATTCAGTGGTTCACAGATGAGAATTGAAGCGAAAAAGATTAGAAACTAATTCATACAGTTTTGAAAATACATACTTGTAAAGACATTCACGCACAGTCCTCTGACAACGAAAAACAATCTTTAGTTACTTAGAAGCAACTGGTTTAACTTAACACTATTCAATAAGCTGTACCTATCATACTAATAAAAAATAATGTTCCATATAAGGTCCGAACTTGCATCATTTAAGGTAAGAATTAGATATTTTACCAAATAGCAAATCGTAGCTCTCAGAAAATTCTTTACCTTAGTGATCTAATAATATATCATACAAAATTTACAAACTACCATGTTTTCTCATATACATATATGTTAGTTATCAACTATAATATAATTTAGATTGACATCATGAATGGATCAAGCACTGAACAGTCGTCTCGTTCTAGTTTTGGACTCCTCAGCAATGTTCATCCACGATTCCGCACACGGGATTCGAACTCAGGACCTTCTGTCTCTCACGCAAACGCAAACTCATGGATTCACACAGCTGATGAGTCCCATACTGGGACGAAACGACTGTCCAGTGCTTGCAGGTTTTCAACAGTGTCCTAACACTGATCTATTCATGAAATCAATCCAAACTCAACAATCTCCACAATCCCATAATTATATAACGTAATTATCATGAAAATATCCAGTAAGCCCAGAAAATCATCCACCCATAATTTATTTTAATTTATTATTAATTTATTTGATGAATATATGAATATTTGTAAAAGTAAACTAGAAATATTTCATGACTTCAAATAAATTTCATGTTCTGTGTTCAACATTGCTGTTTCATCCCTCTATTTGTTTTTTTGTCTTTTGAAAATGTTACACGAATGATCTACAACGCTGAAGTTTCAAACTTCTTTTTTTTAATTCTCTCGATTTTAAATACTGTTAGTGGGTTTTTTCTTTCTCTCTCTCTCTCTCTATAACTATCCTTCTTCTTATTCTGCGTTTATTGAGTAGTATATTGTGAAAACTCCCAAAGGCATTCTTCCATGAATCGATAAAATATTATATATCATGTCTATATTTGAATAGACGTATTTTTTTAATAGTAAATATTAGAAGAAAAAAACATTGTACGGTAAAGTTTATGTAGATTTTTGAAAAGAACTGGTTCACAAACCACTAGAAAATTTTATAAATTATTACTATATATCATTTTAGTTTGTAAGTAGTATAAGCAGAAATATATTGGTGAGACTGAACTCAGTCTATTAATTAACAAGATAAGTGATACACTAGTGGATTTTCGTGTTCAAAGTGGTATAGAGAACTGTCATGCTTACTACATGATTATGTTTGTCTTGAAGATCTCAACCAAGATATCTATTCCTATCAAGATGATTGAGAGCAGTTGGCAACGATTTTACAAATCGATGCTACATATGATTCTGAGCTCTTAACGTTTCTCGGTCAAGTCAACTTTCATATTTTTAAAAAAATAGTTTGAAATAAACTTTAGATTACATGAATATGAATTAAAGAGTGTATCTAAACAATACTCGTTTTTCCATAAGCTGATAATGAACGCTTTCTTAAGTGAAGTTAAACGACCAACAATATGATATTTAACAAAGGATTTATTGATTAAAAAACTACGTTTTCAGAAGACAGATTACCTTTAATTAATTGGCGTTAATATTATCAGGAACATTTATATGAAGTAAACAGGAGACAGGTTTTTGTAGAGAAGTTTTGATGTAAGTGAACCACATGATATGATATTCAGTGGTTAATTGTGACTGCAACCATTATCAGTATACCATCAGATGCTTACATCATCCAAAGAGTATGCACTTAAACATTATACAGTTGACAAATTTTACCAGAAAAATGCAATTATAGCTTCCATCATATCTATGGGAAGCATTCAGATCTTTTATGTAGGACAATACACATGAAAATTTTCATTTCAAACTATTTACTTGATAGATTTAATATACAAAATACATAGACTTTTAACAACCTGTAAATAATTTATATATATTGGTTATTTGAAACTTCACATTGATGTTCAGGGCTGTATTTGATCAGTCTGTTATGGTGCTCAGAAGTTGAATATCAATTAATTGCAATAATGTTAACTAAATTAAATAAATAAAAACTTTCTTCTAAATTTGATTGAATAGTTTCACAGTATTTGGGCGCCGAGTTCGTATGAGACATGAAAGAGGAAAAGTGTATTTGTAAAATCTCAGCGAAAGAATTTGAAGTAAATCCAACGTTAGTGGACCAAATTTCCAGATGAAACGTTGGATTTACTTCTAATTCTTTCACCGAGATTTTACAAATACATTCTTTCTCTTTAATGTTAACTAAATTGTTTGAAATTAACAACAAAGAGTTGTTTACAATTAAACCTCTGTTAGAAAATGATAAGCTATTAGTAACTGTTTCATAATATATGTTAATTGAACTCTTTAATATTGTTAATTAAATTCAGCATATATCTATTTCATTCCTAACTATTCTCATCAATATTCTGGAGAATGATTTGCATTTTTTTATTTCTACTATTTTAACAACAAATCAAGCTTTCTTACCATCATAAATAAATGAAATTTCAACTAGAATTACTAGAATACTAAACAAAATTTAAGCTAACAATCATCCTAGGTACATATTTGTGAGTTTTTTTTATTACTTAAGTCAGCCATTTCTTGACGTAAAGTGTTATTTGGCAGTTCGAAAAAAAACCCAACAAAACAACAACTACATTGTAGTCAATACAATGTTAACATATACATGATAACATACATTTGAATGGATTCAATTACATATTATATCTATTTAAAAGTGAATATAACTTGTAAAACTGAGATTCGATTAACAAGACTGATATAGAAATAAGTATCTAGTCTAACACTAACTAACTAGTTAACTAACAACTGTTACTAACTAATATTACATTACACGACATTTTCAGTCTCATTTTACATGACATTCCAAAAAAAAGTATAAAAAAAATAAAGATAGTACGTATAATTAGTACTTGAATGTAAAGGAAATAACATGAAATTTTTAAAACTGATTCTAGATTATCAATACAATTTATTGTATACATCTAGTCTATTACTTGAGGAAATTGTGATTTGATTTGATTTTTTTATTATTAAAAAATGATCTAACTTCAACTAATTCCACAATAGGACGAAACGTCCGTTCAGTGCTTTCAGGTTTTCCATGGTGATCTAGCTTCAATTGACTCATGATCTTAACTGTTGAAATTACTACGATCTCCATAAAACCCCTTCTGATACTAAAAATGATCTGTTTTGTTGCCTCTTTTATATTTTATTTCATTTTAAAAAAACAACATATTTTTGTACTACAGGGTAGACAAACAACACCTTACTTTTATGTAAAATATCGACGTGAATTAACTGCCACATGGTTTGATTATGAAAAAGAAAATGGTACAAAAGTAAGTTGATTTGTATACAGAAATAGTATTATAATAATCTTATGAATTCTATATGATTATTTCAATTCTACACAACTGACTATATCGTGTCACTTCTTTATAATTATTGAAAATATCTTGTATTTGTTATTTATATTTATTCAAATGTCGTATATCAGTAGTGTTTCTTATTCTAGATAGGTGTACTATCAAGTACAAAATATGAGCTCATAGCTTTTTACCAATTGATTTCAACCAACTTATATGTAAACAAATTACATTTTTATGTCTAGTCATTCAGTGTATTCGACACATTGCATATCTCATTTATGGGAAATAAATCAAAACAATGTATTTATTGACAGAATAACTTGTTGATTAATATGTTATTAAAACTGCAGGTTTTCCAAGTATTACAGAAAGCTAGTTATGTCACGTAAAGTCAAATGGCAATGTCTGTGGTTGTAATATTATGTAAGACAAACTGAACACCAGCTATAGCTGTGGAGGTTACTAGTATTCGATCATAGGTGTCTTTGAAACATTGCTCGTATATCCTTGGACCACCGAGTAAGTAATACAGTTGCTAGGAAACGGGTACTAATTAAGGATGGCAAATCAATTGATGAAGTAGTAAAACTTCATCAGTTGAGATGGCTGACACGTGTTACGTATGCCCAACCACTGACTGCTCCAACGTGTGATATTTTATGGTGTAGGAGTAGGATGGAAGAAAGTTAGGGGCGACCAGACCAAAACATGGCACAAATCCATGAAGTGACTGACAAGTGGACTGGGTCATATTGGTAGGTGTGGACTACCTGGTTGGGATCCGTGGGACGATAACAACCGATGGTTAGAGATCTTGAATGACATGGCTCAAAATCGTTTGTGTTCTCCAAAATTCTAATCTTCTTAATTCTTCATGTCCCTTTTTTTCTTTATCCAATTGTATTTTACTGGATTATACTCTTTGAATAAAATCTTCAAACGCTAATCTTTCCGATTACTGCTTTCACTCTTACTACCTCTACCACTACGGGATTTGAATCGACAACTGCATCTCTATGCTTATGTGGTATAGCAACTCGAACTGATGCACGTACGAACGAAGTTCTACGTTGTTACTGACTGATTGACTGACTATAGCTGTGAATATCTAATGTTAGATGATAACTAGCCTAAGATATAGATTCGAAGCTCTCTGCCAAATGTTCCTAATAATCTTGCATCTAAATAAAGTATACTGCAATATTTAGTCTCTAAAACTATCGGCAAATCCGATAGTAGTTAAAACCAAGTGACAAAAGCGATAAACTGATGTAGACGTCTTAGTAATTCTACATATGTTGTATCAATTTTTACATGGATTCTTAAATTTAATATTGAACCAAAGTTTTTCCAAATACCAGACTACATTTCAGCAAGCTTATATCATAGAAGTATGCTAGATGTAATTATAGTAAAAGATAACTAAAGGACATACAAAGTTTCCTTTCCTGAAGATATCTTCTTTTCTTACAAAAAGTTCAATAACTAGATGATCAAAATCAAAAGTTTTAATAATCCGAAAATACTACTTATTTTATGTATTAGTGGTGCATTGATATGTTTTGTCATTCAAAGGGAGTAAATCATCTTAAGAATTTCAAACACTCAGGCTTCAAAAGTTACATTTAGAGCACTGGTCAGAATGAAAAAAAATAGATCCATGTTATCGATCATAATAGTATCAATAATCAATTGTTTAATTTCATTTATATTTTAGCGCCTTGCTGGTAACCAGGATGCCATGACAGAAAATTTTAATACAATGGATCCACCATTTGTAGCACGTTATATACGTATTTATCCATACAGTTTAGAACCAACCAAAACGTGTTTAAAATTAGAATTGTTAGGCTGTGAAGCAAGTAAGTGTATCAATTGTTTAAATATTTTAAAATAAAACGTTACTTTTATTTATGCTGTTAAGTAATAGGTAAATTATTAGCAACTTCTATTCAAAAATTATAATGAACTTAATATCCATTTGTCAATCAAAATTTGTTACATAATATTTGATAGCCTAATATATAATTTCACAGGTTGAAATCATGAGTCGATTGAAGCTAGACCACCATGGGAAACCTCGAAGCACTGGACGGCCGCTTCGTCCTGGTATGGGACTCCTCAGCACTGCGCACCCACGATCACGCACCACGCGGAGCTCGAATCCAGGACTTACTGGCTTCGCGCGCGAGCACTTAACCACTAGACCACTGAGCCAGCATCCAACGGTGTTAATGTCTAACTTCAACCAATCCACGAAGTTGCGCCACCGTACACCAAACGCTATGGCGTTTGAAGCGAATGGTACTGGGTTCGAATCCCAGAGTGAACGTCAACTCCGAGATGCAGGTACATCCAGGTGACGAGTGCCAAATAGGACGAAACGCGCGTCCTGGATTCCACTATCCACTATCCATCATTGCTTACTAATATATAATTATTCGTATTTTTCTAAATGCCTACTTTGATGTGCTGACAAATGTTATTTTGCTTAAATAAATGATGTTGAAACAAATGAACAAGGTTGTTTCGAAATTGAATGCACCACAAAAAAGATTTTCTAATAAATTGTGAAACTAAATTCAAAACGATGAAAAATTTATGTATAAACGATTTCCAATTGAACACCTACAAGTCATAAACACACTCGCCAAGCATGGGTCCTATCATTTATATCTTCACTGAGGTTCGAACTTAGTACATTTCAGTCTAGTAGAAAGTGGGTTACAATCAGATTACTGATTTGTAGCCAAATAAATTAAATTTTGAACCCTTTGATATGAAAACAACAACTATAAATAAAAACATAAATTTATTCTTAGTTATGACGATAAGCAAATCACAAATGTTCTTTTATTGTTCCTGATATTACCAATATATCTTCTGTAATATGTATTTCAACAAAATTGTTCGATTTATTCTAATCGTATATTTCTTTCTTCATCATTATCATTTTTTAGATGGCATTTTAGAATACAAGGCACCTGAAGGAGCATTGTTGCCTGAAACTATTTCTCCTTCTTATCAACACTATAATAACAATCCATCAAATGAACGTACACGTTTATTAGATACAACGTATGATTCAAAATCACATAAATTTCGTTTATTTGATGACATACAACAAGATTTTATTCACGATAAATCATATGAAACAATCATAGAAGGTGGTTTAGGGAAATTAACTGATAATGATACAGAATTTAAAACAAGTACTAGGTGAGTTATTTAACTGTAAAGTATTAGTTTAAATGTGTTTTTTTATTATAAAACTTTATGAATTTTTGTGATTCTCTCATGATGCTAAGAAGTAGAAGTTAAATTAACAGTGTGATTTTATATAAAATAATAGTTATTCATAAGAACAGTGGTGAATATCGAGTGTGAAAACTACAGAACTACAACTAACCTCTTCCTTTAATATTTATGTTTTGTAAACTTACATGTACAGATGATAACATAAACTCTTCGAATAGTCACCAACTAAGAACCATTATCACACAAATATTTTATGCTATCAAGAGTTTGATTTAACCGGTAAACCTTCTTTAGTTACATTCCTTCCACATGTATTTACCTATTTACTTGTAAGATAGTATCACCCGAGTTACAACAATTTGAAGAATCACTGAACATGTACTAAAGAAATTGATGGTGAATGACCTTAAAGTTACGAGTGTTAGCACATCAATCAGTTCACAAAATGAGTCTATAAACATTTAAAAGAATAACAAACGACAACAGTAGGAACCAATAGTGTTTTACAGATATGGCAGCATATCGTGGTACATGAACTGTAAAATAAGTGTTCGTGGTAAACATCAATTGAATGAAGGATTAGAATTAGTGTTATTATTGCAAGTTTTGTCTGATTATACTTGAATAAATAATATTTTACAATTGTGTACAATCAGAACACGGAAAAAAACAGTAAGAAAACTCGATAAGATTTAAACTTGATACGTTCATTCAAACAATTTTAAAGAGGTTTCAATGTATCATTATCATTATTAATATTATTAATTTATATTTCATTATATTCTATACATTTTCATTTGTTTTATGATTATCTTTAAGGTTATTAAGCTTGTTATTTTTATCACAATTTCAGAATTTATTCACCTCATAGGCAGATATATATGGTGATTAGCAGTGGAACCTAGGACACATTTAATCCTATTTGGGACTCGTCATCTGGATGGACTTGCATCCCAGAGTTGGTATTCACTCCAGGACTCTAAACCAGTACCCAATAAGGCGAAACGTGCGTCCTGTATTCTACTGCTAGCCACCATCCATCTCTGATTATATTGCTTGCGACTTAAACCAAAAATCGAGGTAATCTGTAAAGGATGGACATATCCCAATAAGCGACTGGTCAACTTCAGTTATAAACATCAATGGAAATATTCAAATAATTAATAAAAGATGAATTTAATCCCCTTAAATATTAACTACACAAGTCTTCATACTTTTAAAATTTCTCAAATCTAGTCGAATTATAATAATGAAAATAATTACTTTTGTTATTATTACCATGATTACTTTATCAGTTTCATCGTCCCACACACGTTATTAACAATAGCTTGCACGCAATTGAATGTTTGTACAAATTTCTGTATGATTATTTTTTTCATGAGTAGGTTGAATTACCCTGTGAATATATTCATACAAAACTATTCTGTATTATTCCTGACATAATATTTTACACATATTAAATGAAATAAATATAAGTCATTCCACTGTATCTGTTGTTCTTCTCTTACAAATATCGTTGATTGTCAATAGTATTGATCTTGTTCGATCATCTACTATTACATACAACAAATGAATGAAGGTTATCATAGAACGTGTACATATGCTAAAGGTTCCAATTTTTATTCATTGAATGTTTCATTAACCAACTTAAAATAAACTATTTTTAATAGTTGATTAAACTTACACAATACTATACTATACTTAACTAACAACTAAACTATATGTTATTTAATAACATTGATGTCAAGTAGTTTAAATGACTTAAATTCACTGCTTAAGAATACATACAACTAATGTAATTGTTATTCCAAGCACTACACCTTTATTTATTCATATAATCAACCCTCAAACATATATAAATGTCACAATTGATTGATCACTGGGTGGTAATCAATGTCATGTGTGTCTAGTCCTTATTAGTGCAGATCGAATGCTATCGACCATGTTGCAATGTAGCCACAATCTAGGTGACTCGACATTGGTCGATAGCATTCGATCTGCACTAATAAGGACTAGACACGCATGACATTGATCGCCACCCAGTGATCAATCAACTGTGATTACATCTTAGTCCTACAGGAGGTCGGTCGCGGCTCGGATAGCTCAGTGGTAACGTCTCTGACTGTGAAGCTGAATGACACGAAATCGAATCCGTCAGGGAGCATCAGTTCCCTCAAGATTACAAGTACACCTTGGTGACGAGTGCCAAGTAGCACGAAACCCGGTTCCAGGGTTTCCTGTCGACTACCTCCAACCACCATCTAATATATAAATGTCGTTAAATTAAAAATCAATTGTAATAAATGTATATTATTTATTTGAATATCTGTTATTCTATTGTTTTATATTCACATTTTTGTTCACTCAGCCCTTTCTCAAGTCATAAATTTATTGGTTGGAGAAGGAAATTATCCACAGGACCGTTAAGTATGACATTATCAAATCAATCATTTGTGAATACTTTAACCTCAAATCATAATGCAGAAATGGAATCAGATTTTCTTCGTATAATTTTTCGATTTGATATGATATATAATTTCTCGTCAATACGGATATATGTGTCAAATGATTTTTTAGTTGGTTTAACAATACCACGAAATATTACAGTTGGATTTAGTTTCCATGATCCATCTCTTTATTACTATTATCATTATGGTCAAAGTAGACAGCAGAAAAGTGATCAGCGACAAGAACAACATAAAGAAGAAAACCCATGGTCATCATCGATTCTTTATCAGTTAACACCAGATAAACAAAACACTGATTCTCGTTGGATTGTACTACCAATACATGAGGCGACCAGATTGAATTATGCAATACAAGCAATCACAAAACAAGTATCCCATAACCCAGGACAGTTAATACAGAATAATAGTGATGTAGAACAGTTAAACATATTCGGATTAGGACAGTTTGTAGAGATAAGAATATTTTTCAATAGTCAGTGGTTGGCTGTTGGTGAAATTTTATTTGAAAATTGTAAGTTTATGCTGGAATAATATTTTGCAGTTGGTATAATCTTTTTTCCTTTCTGTGGTGAAAATCCCGTCCTAAATAAACATTCGTATAATAGTAAAACTTCATCTTGTAAAAACTACGTTTTTTATCTAAAAAAAATTTAGTAGTTAGTAGTCTTAGAAACCTTTAATTATGGTCTCTGAAACCTAGTGAGACTAATTTAATCATCATCTGTTGTCAAACAGGTATTTAACGGTAGTGAACTATTTACCTTAAATAAAATTAGTATGAAGAAGAACCCGAGATTTTCTAGATTACTTCATATACTACTCATTGACGTAGCTAAAAAATAGACTAACAGTCGAGTTCACTTTGATGACATGGCGTCAAATCTAATTCCACTTGAGTAAACTCACAATATTGTTTAAAGGCAGAGGAATCCACGATATGATGGATCGCTCTTGATTTATGGTAGAAGATGAATTATCTTAGTCACTTGGTTTCGACAATTATATAAACACCTTAACCGAACACTGGTGTTAAGTTTATCTATTGATTATCTGTTTATATTCACAGTTTGAAAGTACAACGTGGGTGGCAGTGTAATTCTAGATGCGTATCATATCGTATTTATGACTTTTCAGTCAGATGTACCTGGATCACTGTGCTGGTGTACAAATTAGGACTAAAAATCAACAAATTTCATTTCAAACTTTGATGTATTATCCACTAAGCTTCTGAGTACATACAGTCATCAATTTGTTCAATGGAGATGATTAAAATTTTTCCTAGTAATGATATAAATATTATGAATTCGTTTTATTCTGTTATCCTCTCGTCAGCTGTTTATAATCTGTCCTATACCATTATGTGTATATGAGAAACATTCTACAATATTAGTAATAAGAAATATTAGTTTAGCAAAGGCTTCATATCTATACTTATTTTTCCTGGATGATAATAATTACAATTATAATGGTCGTGACCAAACCATCCAATTCAGAGAACAAAATTCCATCAAAATAAGCATAGATGTTTACGACTGTTCAGCTTCGAAAATGAATTCGTCTAAAAGAGAACACTTCACTGAACTAATCTTTCTTATTTAATGTCTTAATCAATGTATTCCGTTTATTAATATTATTAGTAGCCAAAGATCATATTTTTTTTTAGAAATAAGTGATCAATTAATGATCAGATATTAATAATATAATAGCCATTGAGCAGTTAGTTAAAATAAATTTATTGGATTTAAAGAATCGGATACTTTATCGTTTTGCATATGTATATACTTCATATCCCACAATTGATTTGTCACTAGGTGGTGATCAATGTCATGTGTGTCAAGTCCTTATTTAGTGCAGATCGAATGCTGTCGACCATGTTGCAATGTGACCACCAGTCTAGGTGACCCCAATCACCATCTAATCTCAATAATTCATTTCTCTATACACTAACTATTCATTTGATCATCTCTTAGATTTTCCACAATATTTTGTAGGCTATTTATAAACTATTTCTTTTTCGTTTTCCACAGAAAAAAATAATTCTAGTAGAAACAAGAAAAACAGTGTAGAATTATCTTTAAACTCGATTAAAGACAGTGGTGGATTCTTTTTTCCAAATCGGTTTTCATTCTTGTTAGCCTTTTTTCCCCCAGTTAGTTTATCTCTCTTTTCCTACAAAATGAAAGTAGGATATAAAAGAGATGAGCCTTAACTTAATATTCTTGTTGTAAAACAAAACAAAAATGATATTTCATTAATCATCTAGTCAGCGGAATATGAAAAATCAAAATAGATATAAATTCTAACCGTATAACATTTAGTATATACTAAAAAAATAATAAATATATTGGTCAGGCTTTCTAAACAACAGCCGGAAAGATATAAAAAGATTGGATATACTACACAAAGACAATGTCCTATAATCACTTCACCAGTTAAGTGCACTACTATTCATGGGACACAAAACATCGATTAAAGATCTCGAGGTAAATCTGTTTTGGTCTCTTCTTCCCAGTGGTTTTCGAGTGAATTTTATGGTCTTAATGTCTACCTTCAATTCTTGGTGCCATGTGTTATTTGGTCGACATCTTTTTCTTTTACAATAAAAATTACAATTTACTGCCTGGTATATGATGTAGTTTAATGCTTTTCGCAAAATATATCCCATCCATCTCCGGCGTCTTTTCTTAATCTCTTCCTAATTTAAAATAGGTTATTACTAATGGTCCCGGATCAACGGATCTAGAGTGTTGTACGTGGAAAACAATTTATAAGTGCCTATACATTTTTGGTGATGGTAGTATCTCAAGTTTCGGCCCTGTTCAGTATATGCGTTTTAAAATCACTGTTCAAAATTATGTCTTTGATCTTAGGTGACATTTCTTTTGAGTTTTGTATATTCTTTGGCTGTAGAAATGTTCCCCTTTCTTTACCAATTTGTGCCCTTAAATCTTGATCTGATACCTCTTGTTTACCATATTGTTGATGAACTAACTTGCACTCACAACATAGGACTTCACAACTAAGCCTATAATAAGATTGATGGTGACAATCTTGTCAGGTACTTCATAGTGTCAAGTAAGAGTCTACAAGGTTTTCTTATCTCAACTGTTGAACGGTTCTTTTCATATTCAAGGGATTTGATGTATATTGATGAGTTTCATTCAACTAATTGCTCAGCAATAGTCTGGAGTGTCACGACTTGATCTATACTTACGAAATCCAGCCTGCCGATCCCAAATATGGGTGTGGATTATTGATGCCATTAATTGTAATCATTTCCCTTTTTGCTTTGAAGAATACTTTGATGATTTTAAAACAATAAAATTTCTATCCGACAAGAACTTTAGTGAGTTTGTGGAAATAATCCATGCAACTATTATGTGTAAAGCATTTTCTTATTTATAATCAGAATACAATGAAAGCTCTTCCAAAGTTGATTTTTCTCCATATTGCGTCTAATTATTTTCTTTGTTCCAAGCAAAGTTAGATTGTAACGTCTCAGTTCTGTGGCTACATGAAGGACCCTCCAAGTTTCAAAAATTTTTTTGATATTCTATGCGTTTCGATTAATTGTTATTGTGGTTATCAGAGGGTCATCAGCTTAATGGTTTCCGGATACTTCTTACTTTTAGCTTGAGGCCTCATAACATTGCTTTACTACGACACTTAAACTCCCATTGTCTAATAGATATAACTGTCTTCTTCTGGCTGGTATTTTTGTATCAAAGTTCTTTTTTAATGAGGTGGGGTCGATAATCTTACCCTTGACTGTCTACCTTTTTCTATGGTATCAGACCGGCAGAATTTTAATCAAGTTTCAAGAAGAGTTATCGATTTATAGTTGATTGGATTCAATTTTTAAGTATTAGCCGTAAAATAAAATTTGATTAGTTTACAGCATGTATCATCTCTAAAACAAACTTTATTCTTTTGAAGTTCAGATAACAGACAAGTAACAATAATTACAATGAATATTGAGAAGTAAACATTAGATAATTTAATTTGATTACTTTATCATTAATTTACCCAATTTAGTTTTTTGTAAATATGCACATTTTTATACAATCCATGAATTACTTTTCATTTCATTTCATTGTATTATATAAATATAGATATTTTCCTTCAGGGAACTAGTTTCATTTCAACAAATAAGGAGTAATTTTTATTCTGTAATTCGTACACTAAACTAATTTATGAGGTAAATTTACATTGTAGTGTAGTGAACGAGAACACAACTGGAGACGAAATTACAGAATGTCTTAGTAAAGTCTAAGAACCATAGAGTAAATAATTCATTTGCAAAATATCAATCAATTGTCTCAGACTTCATTGTTCCTTCGTTTCCACACCAATCATTCAGTATTCACTTTCTATTTTCTTCAATCTTCTTAAACTTCTGCTGTTCGATATTTCACATTCGACTGATGATACATACTACTTATATCTATCGGCATCAGGAGCACACACTACAGTAATATTTACAAAAAATAAAGTTTATTACGGTGAATAATAACATTATAAAGCCCATGATTTTTAGCATTAAAATAGGTAATATCGATTATTTTATTGCTGTACCATGAAAAAGCGAACTGAACTTCTTTATAACGATGAAGTAATTGATAAAAGCTTTCCAAAGTCAAAACTCAGAAAAAATACATGTATATATACGCTCATGTATTTATATTAATTTTCTAATCAATCACGGAATACGGATTTTGTGGGCTGGTTGAAGTTAGACATTACCATCATTAGATGCCAGTTTAGTGGTCTAGAGGTTAAGCATTCGCGAGCGCGACAGATAGATTCTGAGTTCGAATCCTGCGGGCAGGATCGTGGATGTTCACTGCTGAGGAGTCCTATGCTAGAATGAAATGGTCGCCCAGTGCCTTCAGGTTTTTCATGCTGATCTAGCTTTAGTTAACTCATGAATTCAACTATGAAATATAGATTTAACAAGACGTATCATATATATAAACGATTTCGTGATAAAATTGTTTTCATCTGATAACAACTTGTTTTCACTGTACCTATTCGCATAAAAAACTCTCCCTCTTTGTCTTTCCCTGAAACATTCATACTTCTCACCTGAAAATTATTACTTCAGCTAGTAATGTGTGACTAAATGTCTGTCTAATAAACCTCAATAATTAGATGTTAATGATAGTCATTAAATCGAAGTAAACAAATATAGAATAACTTCTGAAGTATTTGTATTGATTTAGCATAAAACATGTCTTACTTACAAGTGATTACGAAAACAAATTATGAGTTATTATGAAATCTAATGTAGTGACAGCTTTGGAAACATTCATTATTTGTTTCACTGATAATAACTATATTGTACAAAAGCAATGGGAATGCAGTGATTATTTATATTACGCTTTGTATAAAACTACTGGTAATTACTAGTTGATTGAAAAGAATTCATGTTTTTTGTATGTTTCATTCAAAATAAAATGACTGATAATCATGAATGGTAAAGCTTGTCACTTCATGTAACCTGTATGTCATTGTTTCGAGATTACGAAACGTTTCAGATCAGTTATCTATATTATATTTGTGATGTAACACGATCACAACCAAATATTGTCCATGAGTAATCTTACCTTACGAGTTTGTCGATTGTACACATCATTGAATTTCTTAAGGAAAAGGTGAAAATCTATTTAATTGCTATTTATCAATATAGGAGTTGTGAAGATCATTAAGTTTTTGATTGAAATCATGAACCAATTGATATTAGACCACCGTTGAAAACCTGAAAGCACTGGACATTTGTTTCGTCCTAATATGGGACTCCTCAGCAGTGAACATCCACGATTCTACCCCGCGAAATCCAAACCCAAGACCTATCGGTCTTGAGCGCGAACACTTGACCTCTAGACTACTGAACTGACATCTCATGGTATTCATATCTAACTTTAACCAATTATTTTAATTATTTACTATTAAATAATTTAGGAGTAGGATATGTGCGTAATTGTTAAACATGAAGTCAACTAAAATTAAATAGTAAATAAACAATTATTTCATCTCTACGTTTGTTTTTTTTTTCGTTTACAATAAACTAAAATAGTTTTCACATCAATGTTAATATCACAAATTATTTTCACTGATTTTTACACTAACCCTTAAACAACAATAAAACTTTGAGATTAACATCATACGATTATCACTAACTTAACATAAATACATACATACATACATATAGATGTAAATATAACGAATTGAGTCCCGTTCGCTTATTTTTTTTTCTTGTTTAAATAAATACTGCAAAGTAAAACAAAAGCTCTAGCGGTTTATTTGATGTTTTTGATAACTAAATTTAAAGAGAAACAGTTCATTCTACTGTTATTTCTGTAGGCCTATGTTCTTTTCTTGAATCAAGTAGTTTATAAATAAAGTAAGTAGGTAAAACTAAAATAAAAAGTGTAGAAACAGTAACAATAATAATAATAATAATAAACAAGTTGAATCTTTTTGCCTCTTGTTTTCTTTTCTACATATTTTATGTTTTTCTAATTTTCAAAAAAAATATGATAAGATCTTTATGAATAATTCTATTCTGTTTTCCTTTTTTTCACTGTCCAATTTCTTTTTTTTTTAAATTTGTGTTGTTAAGAGAGAAAAAAAAGTCAATAATTTAGTTCTTCTATTCAGTTACTGATTCATTTATGATGTTTAACAATAGTTTTTTTTTTCTATTAATTTTCTTTTTTTGAAATAAAATAAGGTATGGAAGATGTAAGTGGAACTTTTCAATATGTTAGTTAAAAGTAATTGAAGTAATTATAAGACACTAAAGAGGAAGAACATGTTTGTAAAATCTCGTTGAAAGAATTGGAAGTAAATCCAACGTTTCACCTGGAAATTTGGTCCACTAACGTTGGATTTATTTCAAATTCTTTCGTTGAGATTTTACAAATACATTCTTTCTCTTTAATGTCTCACATGAACTCAGCGTACAAATATTGTGAAATTATTCGTTCAAATTTGGACGAACGTTCTTATGAAATAATGATAAGTTTAGAATATATTTTTAGTATTCAATGATTTGAACTATCCAATTTCTATCTATAAATAGGTCTTAGTGATTTTATGATATTTACAAATGGATAATATAGCTTTTTTGTTTAGTTAAAATTAACGATTGGATAGTAGGTTTTGTTATGTTAATATCTAGACAAAGCGGAAAGATTTTTTCTTCTTCTTAAAACCATACACAATATAATATCTTTTCATTTTGTGTTATTTAATCAGTTATAAACAAAATACGATATACACGTACATTTTTTTAAACCTCATATGAGTATAGTAACAGAAAAAGTCAATAAGATTGAAAGCAAAGATAGCGAATCATAACCCATGGTAATAAATATATTTATTTATGTGTAAATAAACAATGTTGTTTAATATATATAGTAAAGGTTACTAAAAGTATTCATAATACAAAGTAATATTACGAATTTTAATTAAAAAGACTCATGTCAACAATTATGAATTACATAATCAGATTTCACACTGTAGTTGTCTAATTCCTAGACTTTTTTTTCAATCCATTTTTGTGATAGATACTTCTAAATTGAGATATGTAATGAATACCATAACTGTCTCAGGTAATTACAGTCTTAATCCACAACAATCTGTGCTTAGTACATCTTGTCTAAGCTCATTAATACTCATTTATTGGTTTCAGAATGTACAAGCAGTGCATTGTAAGCAATTGTATTCAAACAAATATTCTCAACTAGAAAATCAGGTTCAAAAGGTATTAGCATTCTGATAGGAAAGCATAAACCTCTCATCATCTAATAATAAAATAAGTATCATCTGTCACTCATTCAGAGAAATTAAATGAATAACTTTGGAAACTACTATTTCGACAAAAGATGTACAACTTGGTCTGTTTGTGAATAAAAGCTTCAATTTGTATTTTATTTAGCTAATTAAAAGTTGTAATCAGTTGATGACTGTTAAGTCGCTTGCTTCTCTTGGTTATTTGGTTCAATGAATCAAACAAACTAAATATAAAGTGAATGAATTATAACCTCATATTTCTTTCTTTCTTGTGAAGCTGTAATAACATGCTTTTTTGATTAACATTGTTTATACATAACTTGATCATTTTATATTTTATTCCAGAGTATAGAATTGTTGTGTGAAAGTCAATCTATTAATTATCATGTACTGACTGTTTTATCCATTTAAACAACTTAAAAAACATATTATTAAGCTTGTTATCCATCCAATGATAAATTTTATGTGAATAATCATAAGTAATTGTTCTTATTAGGAAGGGGTTTTATGGAGATTGTAGTAATTTAATGATTAAAATCATGAGTCATTTAAAGCTAGACCATCATAGAAAACCTGGAAGCACTGGACGGCCGTTTACCCGGGTCTTATGTGAAATAGTAACTCATTAAAGACAATGGTAGACGGTGGCACGATTTCGTGGATTAGTTGAAGTTAGACATTAACACCACTAGATGCCGGTTCAGTGGTCTATAGGTTAAGCGTTCGTGCATGAGATCGATAGAACGTGTGTTCGAATCCTGCGCGGCGGGATCGTGGATGGTCACTGCTTCGGAGTCCTATACTGGGACAAAACGGCCATCCAGTGCTTCTAGGTTTTCCATGGTGGTCTAGCTTTAATAAACTCATGAACTGAGCTATTAAATTAATTGTTCTTAATAAAGTTAATTGTTCATGAGTACAACATTCTCATAAGTAATAAAAAAGCACAGTGAAGTTGTATGGTGGAATTGATTAGTCATTACAGTTTATTAGCTTATTCACAATTTTAGCTTTTATAAACATATACAATTCCTATTTTAGTGTACTTTAATAATGACTTTTTTCCATTTTATTGAACTATTTGTAGTAAGAATGCCTCATTTAAAATTTCAACCTGAAAGAAATGATCCTAATGAATCAAATCATCAAGAATTTCGATTAACATCTACAAGTCTTCCATATTTATTAAATGAACACTCTTCAACATTAAATAATCCATTGGGACAAACAACAACTTATGTACTTGCAATAATTTGTAGTCTTTTAGTAATATTAATATGTTTCGGTTTATTCTGTTTATTTTGTGTTTGGGGACGTGAACGTTTACATGTACCATTTCGTCATAAATTTAATAGAAAAAATAAACGATTTAGTGATTCTACACAATTTGATTCAAATCCAAGTGTAAATAATAAAACAAATGCTCAAAATGTATCATTATTAACAGAACAATTAAAAATAAATAATCTTATGAATAATGTAGTAGTTACAACAACAAATGATACAATCGGAGATATACAATATCAGTTTCAACATCCTCAAAGATGTCAAGAATCAACTATAAGACTACCTAGTACAACGGCTTATTTAGGTGGATTTCAATATTTAACAAGTAATGGAATAGCACCAATTAGTATTAATTTAACTACAAATTCATTACATCAACCATTTCAACCAGTTGGACTAGATAATAATAATAATCATAATTATCCTGCACATATTAATTCAAATAATCTATTTGGTTCATTATCGAACGAACGTAGTGCTAATTTAATAACAACTAGCATTCCCGGTGCAAAATCATTTGATCTGAAAGATTCACTACCAGTTGTATCACTTATGACCCAAAATGTAAGTTTCACTTACTATAAAATGTGTTTTATAATCATTTTATCTTATTTAAACTTTTTTATAAAACACTCGCTAGTGAAACAATATATAAATTAAGTATAATGATTGTTGTGACTTTAAACCCGGCTAGTTATCACGTGAATTATTTGCCAATGTAAATACGACTTATTCAATCACAGTACTGTGCAAAGCCAATGACGTTCGTCTGGTATGAGCAGCCTAGCGTCCTTATTTATTCTTTGTTCACCTAGCCTGTCCAGTTTAGCCCAGAACGCCAATAGCAGCTTCCACCATGCAAATCATTCATTCCAACACATACTGGCTTTATATACCAACCAAACAGACTGCATCACACCATAAAATAAGAAATAACATTTATACAAGATCGTGTCAAAAAGTGGCTGTGAACATGAGAGACTGTTATCAATAAACTGAATATAACTTAAGGACAGCAAATCGTATAATAATAATCTATAGGTCAAGATGAAGCTTATAATAAAAAGAATATAGATATACATAATCCAGCTACTGAACAGTTATACGATAGGAATATATACATATAATATTATTCCATTAATAGTTCTCAGAGTTCGCCCAGAATTTAATCTTCACTGATTAGCGTATTTTTAGCGAGTTAGTTTGCCACGGGATAGGGTTGCTAACCCCATGCCCAACCATCCTCCTTTATCCGGGCTTGGGACCGGCAGCGTCCACAGCAGGGCTCCAGGCGAAGTTAATTTAATCCCCACTAGGATATAACAATGATAATTAAACTTTATACAGTATTGTCTTTTTTTATTACTATTCAAAATGATCAACTAACTTCTAAACATAAATTGCCTGTACAGTAGTGATTTAAAAAGTATTTTTCATTCAAGATATAGATTTGATTGTATATAATGATGAAATAATAAAAGATTAAAGCAGTTGGATATCTCTAAGCACGTTGGAATATTTCATTTGTATTTTCAAGAAATGATCAAAACAATTATTATGAAGTTTAATTCAATTGGTATTGTCTTACTTGAATCTTCCCATTGATGTTTAGAACTGAAATTGATCAGTCTGTTATTTGCATATGTGCATACTGTGCGTATTGCCTCGATATTGCCTTAATTTACAGGCATCCCACTGCTAGCCACTATCCATCTCTGCCTACAATGCTTGTAAATTAAGGCAATACGCACAGTATGCACATATACCAATAACAGACTGATCAATTTCAGTCCTAAACATCAATGGGAAGATTCAAGTAAAACAATACCAAGTGAATGAAACTTCACCCTGTTGCACAAGCAAGTGGCTGTCAGGACTCAGTAGCTAAGTGGATAACGCGATGATATTTGAAGTGAATGGTACTGAGTTTGAGTCCCAGAGTCAACAACAACTCTGAGATGCAGGTACGAAGCGCACGTCCTGGATTCCATTGCTAGCCACTATCCATCTCTGCTTATAATTATTATGAAGCTTTTTAGTATTCAAGGAATGAATGTCTCAGGTTAAATTCTTTAAGTTTATATTTCATATAGATCATCTATGGTAGATATTTGCAAAATCTGATATAGATATATGAAAACGTAATATAAAATTATTATGAAGATGAATCAATAAAGACTAGTAAATTTTGCAAGATAAAATGAATCAGTGATTTCAATAATTGCTTTCTTTGAACTTTCATATGTAACCTTTTGTTCAGTGTAAAAATGTCATATAAAGGATGTGATTATGACATCATACATCTTACTAAGAATCTTATGCATTCACCTAGACATGGACCGTTTGGTTAAACCGATGTTAAAAATGTCCAAATATACCATATATGCTTTAATAATTATATAAGTTTTATGTATATTTATAATGTTTTCTCTTAAAGTTTATTCCCGCTGGATCTATGACTCCACATTTCCATGGAACATATTTAAGATCCGATGAGAATATTTTAAATAATATTAATTATCGTAAAGCATGTCATGATAATTCAATTTATACAAGTCTACCTGGATCCGATTGTGATTCTCAACCGTATGCAAAAGTGGACACAGTAAACAATACATTGATGCAACAATTTCAATCAAATAATTCTAGTATAGATCTATCACAACTTAATATTTCTTATAATCATTGTAATGGAGATAATCGTTTATTTAATCCAATGAATTTACCTCCACCACCAAGTCTTCCATTACCTCCAACACCGGAACATTTAACAACAACAATCACATCAACAATAACAACAGTGTCATCAATAACAACTTGCTCACAAACAATTCATTTAAATAATAGAAATGAATTCAATCATGATTCCATGTCAATAAATAAAACTAATAATAACACACTTTTTACATATAATTCTAATGTAAACAAATCTATTCCAAATAATGATATAACTACATGGTTAGATTCGAATGGACAATTTATTTCTATATCTAATCCTTTATTTGATACTAATTTAGGTGTAGATCCAATGAATATGAATAATAGAAATAATTTTCAAAATTTTTCAGGTAAGTGTTTTTAAAATGTATATGAAATATTGTTTAAATATTGGAAAGAAATATGTGATTATTTATGGCAGAAGGCATTGTCGCATTCATTTAACATCAGTTTCCCTCAAGTATATTTTGAAGTTGATTCTTATCAAGCAGTGAAAACAACTGAATAGTGAGAATAGTTTTCATTGTGTACGAGATCCTCCATAAAATAACCTAACTAATGCGTAGAATCCTACGAGTCCAATGCTTTATAAAAAAATTCCAAGATCTAGTCATAAGTAATTACCGAACAGAAAATAAACTAATTACCCCTACTGATTATTTCAAATCTAGAACTTGCTGAAGTTTAATTGATATTAAAATTATAAAGTGTTAAATTCCAAATCTATGAAGAAGTATCATTGTGTTCATCGTGTTAAGTGAATTGTCTGGGTTCTGGGTTAAGAAAACGAAAAGTTCCACGATACCATTTTGATATTACCGGTCATCTAACTGTATTCAATCTTGAAAAGAGCAAGAACAAAGATTCTAGCAGAATAGCATGAATTCATTTTATTTCGTAGGTTCTCGTCAGCTGCTTACAATCCGTGATATTTCAAAACCGTAATTACATAATGGGTTTAAATTGCTTACTGAATATTGTAAATATATACCTAATGTGAAAGAATATTCTACAGCATTAATTGTGACAACAGTTCAAAAGGAGGTTAGAAACAATTGATTACATAATAAATAAACATTGGTAGGAATATAGTGAGTAGAGTTCAGTTGAATGATTATTCACTTTAAAGATACTTGAAAAAAAAATAAAATCAGTTATGTAATAAATACAAGAGAAAATTTTTTTTAAGGTGCAGCGAAAGAATATTTGTCATCAAGGCAAGGAAAGATTAACAACCGTCTCCTTTTGAACACATAGGTCAGGTTTTTGATTAAATCTGTCTCAAGTTTCCTATTGAATAACAATTGATAGAAACGCCTTTATTTTTATTATATATATATCGTTCTTCATAAGAGGATATATTTTCAAACAAAAGAAATAGTTAGAAAGAAATTTAATGATATTGTGGTGTATTCTACTGATATCGACAAATATAAGTAGTATATACATCAGTCGAAAGCAAAATATCTGACGGCAGAAGTTTAGGAAGAGAGAAAAAAACGAGAACAGTGAATGATTGGTGTGAAAATTAAGGAACAATCAAATTTGCGATGATTGACTAATATTCTACAAATGATGTATTTACTGTATGCTACTGAGATTTTACTAAAACATTCTGTAATTTTGTATTCAAATACATTCGATTGTCTCCACTTGTGTTCTCTTGTGTTTTCTTTTCTGGATAATTATTCATTTAAAATTATCATCCCTGTAGGTGTATGACTATTAATTGAATATTGTTACTAGTTTATTTTATAATATAATAATAAATGAGTTACATTCATATTTCTAATTCCATCCAAATAGTAGATTAATTATACAAAATCTAGATAATATTAGGTAATTGATATGGATACAAATGAAATAATCCATCTATACATGAATATCTACTAGTCATTCAACTTTAGTTTAACATGAAATGATGCATCTGACAATGAATATTTTAAATATTCTATACAAAATATTTTTATTAACAATGATAATGTCTATCATAAGGTTATAAACTAACACAATCTAAATGAGTATAATAAATATCCCAAAAATGTACATTATAATTCATAAAATCATAGTTTTGCTTTTGTTTAAAACAATTTCTTTTTTTTCACACACAAAGAAAACAATAGTTTGTCTCATTCAAATAGAAACTGAACTGAAATGTTTGACGCCCAACTCTTTAAAATGGAGTATTTCTCCTTTATAAAAAACAACAACAACAACAACTAATGATGGCTCCAATCTTTCGTTTAGAAATAAGTAGTATACTGATCAAAATACAGTTCTGTAGGATAGTTATATACTCTTCCAGTTTAAAATAAATTATACAATTTATGATTATGGTTTAAAGATATTTCATTCTCAATTCAAAATGAACTATATTTGAATAGGATAGTTGTGTTGAGTCGGTTTTCCGAGAACTGCAGTGGAGCCGAAGAGTCCTAGCCAATCAGAAAATGATGGAGCTTTCTAGAATGTCAACGTGGCGTGCTGCTATTGGTTAGTAGCATAATATGTCTTTTAGCTGATTGGTCAAAATGTGATGTTGATTTAACAAGTGTTAACATCTATAAATACCCGTGTTTTCTGTACAAAAACGAACCTTTGGAGTAAAGTATTTCTCGCTTATTTTGTGCCTTTTCTCTTGAGTTCAGGTTGCTGCGTAGTTCTAGCATGCTGGTTACCAGAATAGCTTAGGAACCGAATAAAGCGTTCAAATTACCAAGACTTATCAAGTTGGATATATAGTAGCACACTAGTTGTTATCTGAAATAATTAGTGTTTATTTCTTATCTGTTATATAGATGAGTTATAGTTATATTGCTGAAATGGGAGTTACATTTCGAAGAAAAAAAATTTATGCAAATTTATCAAATAGCCAGTCAAAACTAAAGAATTTGTATATGAATGACGGATAGTGAAATAATTCTTAGTTTATGATTTAAGTTGAAATCAAACTTTCTTTTGCATCATCTTGTAGTGTCGGTTATTATGTTAAGCCTATATACCTTATTCTAGCTTTCGGACAGCCCATTCTATTCATTTTACTTGAGTCATATTCTGATCTTTTTATTCATTCGCTTATCAATCTTGACTGTTTATTATATGAGTTGCATATATGTGTGTACACTTCTTATCCCATTACTCATCACATGTCTGTAACTTGTTTTTGTGTAACTATAACTATTTATTAACGCTTGGTTAAATGGGAGTTGGCTTACCAGCCATATCCACTCTGCGTCGTTTCTCTTCTCTCTATTCCATTTGCTTTATATACAAAATATATGTATTCACAAGTCCATTCTCGTTATTCGAATTATTTAATTCCGTTATTGACTAACGCGATTTAATTCGATGATTATATACGAGGATAGGCGACATATATATTTCAACAACAGTCATCATTACGATCTCCTTGGAGTCAGACCTCGGGCCACTAAATCGTTCAATCTAAATGACGACAAAATAAAGGGCCCCACAATCTAGTTACAGTAATTAAAAAAAAAAGGTTGAACATTACAGAAAAATAGAAAAAATTGTAGCTTGTTTGAATCATCCAAATAATAATGGTCTTTTAAAGATAATTATATGATAATTGATACCTTTTCTGTTATACTGTTTACAGCTAATGAATTCTTAACCATTAAGTAGTATTAAATAGCTCCTTAATCTTACTTTGTGACTACGTAGTAGTATATAAACATATAACTATTAACAGGATCAATGTTGTTCTATCAGTAGTGATGATCCATCTAGATCGACAAGCAAGTGTGTACTGAATGAGATTTATTACTTCTGTCGGTATACGTTGCTGTGAGACATTTTTATTATCCTTGGCATTAAATGTTTCACATTTTTAGAACCAACCAGTCAAACTCTTTCCAACAGATTGTCCATAATTCATCTTGAAATCAGTCACAAATGAGAATATATTTAATGTTTATTCGTGTATTTTGTGTAAACTTACCTATAACGTCTTTTACCCTCAAGATCTATGCACAGTTATTATGCTTCTTTTATATAGGAGTTCAAAATTCGGAATATTCCAACTCAACAACCAATGGTTCTAATACTTATAGTACTTACTATGGTACTCCAAATATGCTTCCCATATCTGTCCCTACAGTTCAAATGATTACAGTGAGTTTTATCAAAACAGAAAGGCTCATCAATCATTTTTTTATTTCCGTACTATTTTCTAATTATGAAATACTTTAATATCAGCATTTACAATGACCTTTTCCGGTTTCTATACGTCAAAATTTGGGTTTGATAATTTAATTCATGAAAACAGGGAAGCTTTCGCCTGTGGGGACTATGTATGGTAACAACTAGCAAATAAATTCAACTTCATGTGTTAGATCGTACTCGCGATTCCGTCTCAACAGAATCTTAGTTTAATGTTATGAATATCATTCTGCAAAACAATCCTTGTACCAGTTCATTAAATCAACGATTATTAACAGTAAATTTTTGAGTAAACCCATGGGAATAATAAAAAGTAACAAATGACTATAAGTAGCATACTGTTATGCCCAAAGCTGCCAACCAGAAGCAGCGAATTATCGACCAGACCAAGGACGCGTAAAACATGTGCGAGCAGCCTAGAGTCCCGATCGGTCCTGCTTCCCACCTAGCCCAGCTAGTTAGGTCTAGAACACCACTCTCAGCCTCTGCAATATGAATAATTTATTTCAAACATAAGGGGTTTATATACCAATCAAACAGACCACAACGTACCATAAAATAGAAAATAACATTTGTACAATATTTCGCCAAAAGTGGCTGTGAATGGGGGATGTAGTGATTAACAGACAGGGAGTAAATCAAGAATGGTAAATCGTATAATAATAGTTCATAGGTCAAAATAAAACTGATAATAAGAGGGACATAAATATGAACACTTTAGTTACATGACAATTACACGATAAAAATATACTCATAGTATTGGTCCATAAGTGGATCCCAAAAATTACCATTCATTATTCTTATCGGGATATAACACATACGAGATAGTCAATTACACTACTTACGCCTGTTACCCCTCGTGGAGGAGCATAGGCCGCCCACCAGCACTTTCCATCCAACTCTGTCATGAGCAATCCTTTCCAGTTGTTTCCATTTGCTATTCATCCTTTTGATGTCTACTAGTTACATTAGTATATAAAAATCCATATTTAATCTTTTAATCCCTAAACTATCATCACTTAAATCTTATTTTCTATATTTCGAATTAATTTTTTTGTTTGATATCATTACCTTTTTCTCATTCCTGACTGTGGATCTACTGTATTATTTGCTGTTGAAATATGAATGAAATCAAACCCATTTGTAAAAAGTATTCTGTTGATGATATATCTGTTTGGATTTGTGAATAGAGTGAAAATCTATTTGTATTATAAAATATACTAGTGTTTCACCAAAACATTATATCAACTTAAATTCGTTTTGGTGTTGCTTTATCTGTGTCTTCCCATTGTTATTTAGGACTGCAATTGATCAGTCTCGTATTGGCATATGTTCATCCTGTGCAGATTGCCTCGACATAGCCTTAAGTAAGCTTTTTAGGCAAAGACGGATAGAGGCTAGCAGTGGAATCAATTGCAGTCCTGAATAACATTGGGAAGATACAAGTAAAGTAACACCAAGTGAATTTAAACTTCTTTGCATCGCACAAGCAAGTGGTTATCTGGACTCAGTAGCTAAGTGGATAATATGATGGCGTTTGAAGCGAACGGTGCTGGGTTCGAGTCCCGGAGTGAACACGAACTCTGAGATGCAGGAACATCCAATTGATGAGTCCAGAATAGGACAAAACGCGCGTTCTGGATTCCACTTTTAGCCACTATCCATCTTTGCTTATTATATCAACGTTATTAGAATAAATCATAAAGCACTCAAATCGGATAAACATTAAAATAGTTTTAATTTAGTGAGTTCATTATTTGGATAATTTAAGATGACAAATATATTATAATAACCGTTTTCTGTTTTTAACTTGTATTTACCAAACAAACGTTCAAGTGAAATGTCTTGGATTTTTATGTTTAAAGGTTAATTTAGAAAAGAATTAAACTTTCCAGAATTCATTATATCCTTTCGGTCTAAATAAAGTGTTTAAACAATATATGTGACATGGAAATGACAAACTACATTTGTCAAGAATTCTCTTCTCACAAAGAACACAATTAAAATCTCGTATAAAGTAAAGAAATAACACCAAAAGCCTTAACTGTTTACCATCATAAACATAGTTGAAATCATTTTTTTCTTTTGACGTCTATGGTCATTAGATTTTAATATATATTTAATATTTCGTGAATTGGTTGAGGTTAGAGATTAACACCACTGGATGCCAGCCCAGTGGTCTAGTTGGTTAAGCGCCTGGCGCGAGACTGATAGGTTCTGAGTTCGAATCTCGCGGGGTGCGGGATCGTGGACGCGCACTGCTGAGTCCCATGCTAGGACGAAACGGCCGTCCAGTGCTTTCAGGTTTTTCATTGTGGTCTAGCTTTAATTGACTCATGATTTCAATCTAAAATATTTATTATTTATTGTAATCATTATTCTGATCAGACTGTTCGAAGATGTATTACACTAACATATTACACAGTTCTAATAATCTCCATCTTCTTATTACACTATTTCAGTGTTGTTAAATACCTTCATTTAGATAATTAAAACATTAAAACGATACTTGTAGGTATCATTACCAAGGTTTGATTTGATAATTTCGAATAAATTGAGCATTGGGTAGATCGTTATAAATAAAAATAATATATTTGTAGTATCCCAATGAGTAGAAAAATTAGATTTCCTGACGTTTCGTAACTTAGCGTAAGCCACTTCTTCAGGGAATAAATAATCAAATCAAAATTAATCCAAATACAACAGAACAACAGGAATACTATGTGATCAATCAAAAAACAGGTCTGAATAAACCAATATCGTGTCAATTCGATCAAAGTGAATCAATAAAAAAATGTATGTAAATTTGTGTTTATGTAAGTGTGCTCTGTTAAGGATAAAAAATTTGTGACTTATATGGTGATAAAGGATAGAGTTTAATTTGTAAAATAATAGCGTGAATTGTGATTAACATCAGACTAGGTGATTAGGACAGATAGTCCAAGTAGGATGTAACGTAAGGACGTCTTTTCTATTGAAAGCAGTAGGATGAAGCATTACATGGAACGCTTTAGCTATTCTCCTTTCTTTGTAACTGGAAAATCATAAGTCAGTTGAAGCTAGACCACCAGTGAAAACCTGGAAGCACTAGACGGCCGTTTCGTCCTAGTATAGGACTCCTCAGAAGTGCGCATCCACGATCCCGCACCACGCGGGGCTCGAACCCAGGACCTACTGGCTTCGCGCGCGAGCACTTAACCACTAGACCACTGAGTCGGCCAGCATCCAACGGTGTTAATGTCTAACTTCAACCAATCCACGAAGTTGCGCCACCGTACGCCATTGTCTTCAGTGAGTTCCTATCTCACAACAGACCTGGTTGAACTCCACTGGTAACGGCTTCTCACTAGTATCAATCGATGGAAATTCATTCGAAATATTATTATGCAATGAAATATCTTGTTTTAGTATATTTAATATACTTATCAGTATTCTTCTTATTTTAGATAATATCAGTATATCATCAAAATAATACATGCTCCTATGTGTACAATTTAAAAGTACATTGTCTAAACTGTACATAGATATTGTATATATAATTATAAGAAAAATGATTATTACTCTGTGGATTCATCTAATTCTCGTTTCAATGATATTTCTGCATTAAAATATTCACTGAACCATTTTTTTCATTTATCTATTGTCTACAAATAAACTTGGGAATTATTTTATTTAATGATTTCATTATAGTTTTCATGTTGCTTTAAATAATATTGTTTTTCATTTTGTTACCATGTAAACTTAACATAGAATGAGAAAAATATTCTCTTTATTTAGTCAGTGTATAAAAATAGAGATAATTTACTTAACATTCCATCTTTTTAGTCAGAGAGGGGTTATGTGAATATTATAGTAATATAATAGTTGAGTTCATGAGTCCATTGAAGTTAGACCAGCATGGAAAACCTGGAAGCACTGAATGGCTAATTTGTTCTAGTATGGGACTCCTCAGAAATATGCATCCATAGTCTCGCCTCGCGAGATTTGAACCCAGAACTTACCGGTGTCGTGCGCAAGCGCTTAACCTCTAGATCACCGAGCCGGCACCTAATAGTGTTCATGTCTAACTTCAACCAATTCACGAAATTTTTCCACCGTCTATCATTGTCATCAGTGAGTTACTATCTCACAGCAGACCTAGTTGAATTTCACTGGTTATGGCTTGTCACTAGAACTTCAAGAAATACCTCTTGGAGACCGTCACAATTCCATCTTTTTCTGGTGATTATTATAACTTTGTTATTTTCAATTGATTATGATAACTTTTTTCAAACTGTCTTTTTTTCTAAATATTTTTTGTTTTGTCAATATTCTTCTGTTTTATAGATTAAACGTTGATAAACAAAATTGAACTGATTTGGTTACAAACTTATAAATTATTAAATGTTAGATACAGATTTTCATTTTTTTCCTTTGTAATCTAATCGAAAATTATAACAAGTTTTCATAAACCAAAGCGACAACACAAAAAAAGGTTTATTTATTGAAGTGAGTTTTATTTACATATTTTATATACTATTGTATACACCCTTATATATATATATAAACCTTTTAAAACTTAAATTCTCTGAGATTAGATGGTAGTTGGAGGTAGTCGACAGGAAACCCTGGAACCGCGTTTCGTGCTACTTGGCACTCGTCACCAAGGTGTACCTGTAATCTTGAGGAAGCTGGTGCTTTCTGGCGGATTCGATCTCGTGTAACTCAGCTCCACAGTCAGACACGTTATCACTAAGCTATCCGAGCCGCGACTGATCTCCTGTAGGACTGAGGTGTAATCACAATTGATTGATCATTGGGTGGCGATCAATGTCATGCGTGTCTAGTCCTTATTAATGCAGATCGAATGCTATCGATCTGAATTAACAATGGCACATAAAATAATCAAAGAAAAGATCTTACGTATTCAATGGAAATAACTAACAATGACTAGTATATATTGACATATAATATAAGTAGTTTATGAAAGCAATTCAATAGTGTTATAAATCTTACACAAAGTATATATGAACATTTTGTTGAAACTGGAGATTTAGTGTAAAAATAAATACTCTGTTAACATATAGCATGCAAATATTTACTCTCTCGCTTAGCATAGAATAAACATTAAGTTTAATCATAACTTCATGTTGCATAAAGTACTGACCAGTCAACTCAAAATAAAATAAAAACGATCTGGTTTTGACACGAGTTTAGCTTCAATTAAACAAAAATATTATCATTGTGTACTTTTATCAGTTGCATATAATATAAATTAGATTTAAAATCATATTAATCAGAGTAATGGATAGCATACTGTTATATAATCATAACTGGTGATTGTAAATATCTGAAATGATAAATTATAAAGATTAAGATGTTGATAACTGAGATTATTGAGAAATTAATCTGAAGAAAATAGAAATTATTCAAATATAATTCATAGTTGATATAGTTTTTTTATAGTTGTTTTACTCTTTGAAATGTAGAAGTTGAAGTTTGTGGTGAAGCAGTTGTGAAAAGTGACCATAGAAACTAAATGATCAAACTATACATCTTAAAGAACAAAACATCCAAATTTTTATCCTACACTGTAAATATTCTCCACCGTGTCCATATTAAATTTTTTTTAGTAATGCATCTGATAGTAAGGTATCTTGATTTTAAGTTTGTATGAAAAATTAAATTAGATTCTGCCATTCGACAAAGTATTAGTAGAGTTCTTGCAACTAGTGAAGATATTGATTGTCGTTAAAAGAGAAGATGCAAATATATATCTAAAAATGTGATCTACAATCCAATTATTTATTCTAATACAACTAAACTACGATACAATGAAATTCAGAATAGTTTTGTACTAGAAAAATGTGATTTGAACTGGTTGGATAGTTTTAGTATTGTAGTGAACGAAAACACGAGTGTAGGGAACCAAATGTATTTGAATACAAAATTACGGAATATTTTTAGTAAAATCTGAGAACTATACAGTAGTTACTTAATTTACAAAATGTCAATCATTCGTCTCAGACATGATTGTTTCTTCGTTTCTATTTCCATCATTCTCTGTTCTCGTTGTCTTTCCTTCAATCATAACCTTCTACTACCAGGTATTTCACTTTCTATTCATGATACATCCTACTTATATCTATGGAAATCAGTAGCACACATTACAATATGATCAAGTCATTTTCATTATGATTTTATAAATGACTAAAAAATATTGCACATCAGAATATCAGAAACCTCTCTCCCCCCTCCCAAAAAATCCCCAACTACAATATGTTGACTTAATATATTTTGATTGGGAAACTTTAACACTATTGATTTATTGAATTATAAGAATGATTGTTTATCGTGTAAAAAAAATACCGATTAACTGACATATTTATCAATAAATAACAAAACATCCCTGACTTTTTAAAGAATTTAGGCTTCATTAATCATGTAAACAAATTTATACTTGAAAATAAATAAATAAAAAATAGGATAAGAATCTTTTGATAGATTCTCTTTGTTAAAGGATTAGAAAGAAGAAGAAGAAGAAGAAAACTTGACAGTTTGTCGAACAGTATAACCCATTACCTAAGCGAAATATTAAATTAAACATATCAGATGAGTAAATTGTGTATAGTTTCTAATATGAACTGGCTTATATACAAATTGAGAATTATTCACATTATTACTAAGATTATAAATGTAGAGAATAAAGATTTTTATTCAATTTCTAACCTTTAAATATACTCAAATCAAGAGTTATATTAATTATCGAATTAAAAGAATTACATAATGATTAGCAGGATAATTTCCGCTGAATCATTACTGAGTTGCATATAAGTAGTAAAGGTTGGGAAAAAAAAGAGATAAGAATATAGAATGTATAAATGTCCTACATAATAAAAACAAAAGAAAGAAGAAGGTAAAAGAGAATGAGCAAGATAATTTTGTACAAGTAACTTTGTTGAATACATCGTTGTATCTTTAACTAGTTTGGAATAGATAGATTTTTCTATTTTTGTTTTGTTCATTTACTGCCAATCATTCATTGTCAGTCAAGCATACAATGTCGAATAAATAAAAATGAATAATGTGATAATTTTTTGGTGATTTGTTGTTTAAAAAGTTAACTATACTGTGAATAGCTCATTCATGCGTTGTTAAAAGGAAGTGTATTGTATATATCAACATAATCGACATTGAAAGATCAATCCTAATGACAAATAAACATCCATATGAGAATATATGAGATGTCAGTCACTTCAATTAAGAGATCGAATTTATTGAGTTACAATAAAATAATCTAAAGCTTATAATAGGAAAGTAGTTAGAAAATTGGAAATACTACTTGTGTTCTATATTCCTTTGATAATAACATTAAGAAATAATATAAATTTTGGCAAACTTATACAATCGGCTTATAAATCTGAAAATTGGGTTATAAAATTGACCTAGGCTACTTAAAGAGGAATAAGTAACTGAATGATGAAAAGAGTTTTTTTAAATAATACGCAATTGCCAATGAACTTTGGTTTGTTTAAACTAGGTGAGTAAGCTTATTTTACTGCCAAGTGTATTGAACTTTAAACTAGTGTTTGATTTTCTTTAATGTATATATCCGTACATTATAAAAATTATATGAGAAGAGGTGAATCCTACAAAACAATCAGTTGTTATGTAATATGACTTAAACGTCTTTCAGGTATAGTGATTTTTCACATAGAGTGATGATATGGTAAACGAGTAATTGTTATCATCAAGGTAATTAAAGAATTAAATTTATCCAGTTGAGAAATGTTAGTCTAATGTTTGAAACAATAAAAAAACTGATTAATTTTTTCTCAAAAGATGAATATATACCATGGTCAAACAATGTTCCCTACTGTCCATATATATATGAATACTACTAATTGTACATTCGATAATCTATCTAAATTTGTTCATGAATAATAAAAACATTATTGTTGATCATAAAATCAAGTGAATTTTTTTCTATAAATGAACATAACGGTCACTCTCATTTGAATCTTATTTACTTACAGGTCAGTCGTATCCTGAAATTGATTGAATCATCAATGAAATTCAATATTGTTCTATGTAGTCATTTCAATCAATTACCTTCAAATGTATTTCAAATAATGTTGTTGTACGAAGTTTTTCCGTGTTTTTTTTGTTTGTCTTTTCTAATAATAGAAAAAGCTGAAATTCAATATATTTATTTGTAATAACTCCACAGGACTGTTCTTATTCATTGTGTACTTACATTTGTCTCTTGAATTATTCATGATTGACATAACACTTAATCTTATTCCTTCTTGAATCGAATAAATTATCACTACTGTACCATAACTATTGGCTGTGAATGTTTCCAGTCTTTTATTTTCCAAATGAAAACACATCATCACATTTAAATGTGAACCTCACTTCAAAAACATTCTAATGTTATTATTATTGTTTCATTTTTCCAATCGGTTTCATCTGTTATTACTTTATTATTATTATTTTTTTTCCATTTTCAGGATTCTTTAATGTATTCATTGAAATATGTGTTCCACTTTGTTTAGAGATGTAGTACAATTATTTGAAAAAAATATAAATACTCAAACATCTTAACAGCTTTGTGTTTATTTATTTTTTGTTTGTTTCCATCCATTCATTCAAGCTTACACACATACACACACACACGCAACACAAACAAATATATAAACAGTATTCTTCTCATAGATAACTCATGTTCAATACAACTTATCTATGTTCACCTCATGTACAAAAGATTATTATTATTATTATTACTACCATTACTACTATTGTTATTATACACGTACATATGAATTGGAAACAATATACAATTGTAACCATTGTACAATTAATTTATGTATAATGATTGTTTTATTAAACTGAAATAAATAAACTAAGATTCTGTGTTTTTTTTAAAAAAAATTATTTAGTTTTTATCTTGGTTTTCTTCTTTTTTTTTAAAAAAAAATAAACTCATGTATCTATTTATATTGAAAAGTTTTTTTTTTTCTTTTTAATTTCTACTTCATAACATTGTGACTTACTCCTTTTTTTCTCTATTAGTTTGTTTGTTTACGCTTTTTTGTTTTCATGGATAAAAGATTGCAAAAACTAAATGTTTCATATCTCTTTTTGAACTGATGTATATTGATGTAATTCAAGTTGTGATAGAGTTTTGTGTGTGTGTGTATGTGTTTATTAAAAAAAATAAGTAAATGTTGTTCTATTTTACTTTTGAAGGTTTATATTTTTATGGTGTGAATGTTAAGAATTGTAATTAGTCAGTTGCTAATAGTATAAGTACTTCCTGTAAGGATTTGCTTAGTATTGTGATAAAATCATAAATATGAATTACAGTTTGATAATGTCAAGCAGTACTTATGTTTAGTCTCATTAGAGCATATGTCAGCTCTATAAACATCTATCTTAGCGTTGATGTTCACATTCAGATTCGAAGTCAATATCTTTCAGTATAAATATACAGTGCTTTATCCTCTGAGATACTGAGTTTAGAATGCCACTAGCTTGTTAAACGAACATGAATTTGTATATATTTTTTTCTGATTTCATCGAATTCAACTACTAGCCACTATCTAACTTTTATGGAACAATGTGTTTCCCAGTAAAATATTATCAAATGCTACTGTCAGAGTGAGTAAATATAAATCTTTGACGACATTATTCAGAAACTGAATGTGTATTACTAAGCACTTGATAACTGAAGTGGAATTTCTGTATCCTGTAATCGGAAACGCTTACAATAACTGTTTAAGAAAGAGCATTAAAGCCTATAAAACGAATTCTAAACGGTCAATATCCAAGTGTTTATTCAAGTTGGATATTTCGTAATCAAATATTTTTGTGATTTGTTTATGACGATCTTCATATGATTTTAGTTCAGTTTTAAAATGCATAAGTTCTCACTAAAATGTTATCATTATACATCTCATCATCAGCCAAGGATCCAAAACTTTACAAATACTTTTATATGATGGTCTCAGTGAACTCTAACTTATGATAAATAACACAATCATAGCCTGTTCTGTGAATTTTAGAATTTAAGGCATTTATAAAATAAGTCCAATATTTGGATATCTTAGATAAAGTTAATAATTAGAATACATCATAAGTAATTCTGTATTAAAAGTTAATGAGAATTCGTTGATTGGCTATTCTCGATTGATAAGTGACGTATGTACTGAATGCTTCATTTCTTCTGTCTTAATCTCTCATTTTCTAAGTTTTAATTTAATTCAATTCATTTTAGTAATATATTGAGTTCAATCAAACAAACATCGGAAATACTTCGAAGGTCATCATAAAAATAATTTTTGAAATGGAAGTTCTTTGTTAGTGTATTAATAAATATTCAGAAAATCTAGTAGAAAATATCCGTTGTTTAACCACTTCGTAGTTAGTAAATTATACTACATACTTGTTTACATTCACTTTATATCAAGTTATGTTGATTTTTAACGGTTCACAAATATTTCGTTTAGTTGCATGATTGAACAACTGAATTTCTTAGTCGGGTTGTTAGACTAATGCATATATATATATATAGTGACTATTCTTGTAAACCAGGTATTTTGGTAATAAATCGACATCACTGATAGCTATAAATGACGATCGTAAATCCATTGAAGTATGAAATGTAAATCACTTGAGTTTAAATCTAATAATCTAAAAGTTGTGCACTTGTCACATAATATACTGCTCTCGAACTTAATCTCTAGTCATTCTAAATGCATATTTCATAAGTAATCCATTCTAGGGTAAAACGACTGTTAGTTTTTAGTTTTTAGTGATTATCTAGATGGATTCAATCTCTACAAAGAATATTTCAATAAGCATTAACATAAAACAAACAAAGCCAGAACAAACATCGATGCAGAATAGTATGAATTCATTATATCTCGTGGTTTCTCGTCAGTGGCTTACAACTAAATATGTATTAGAATTTTACATTGGGATAGGAAATAATATGGAACGATTGACATAAGTGAATGTAAAGGATTGGAACGACAAAGATTATACGAAGATATATATATATATATATATATATATCAGTCAGTCAGTCAGCTACAACGTAGGACCAGGCACATATAAGTATCGGTTCAAGTTGCCATTACCTCATTAACACAACAAGATGGACACCGGATTCATAAAAGTAGTTAATTCAGAGGTGGCAATATATAAAAGAAAGATTGCGATAAGGATACAGTATAGGAAGAAATAATTGGTTCGTAGAAAGAAAGATATGAAGTGATTTTAATCTCTTAGTTTAAGAGAAGACAGAGGGTGTATACACCAACGCCATTGTGATCGATTCTGAGCCATGTCACCAAGAGTCTCCAACCATTGGATACGAAAATCACGCGGACCCCAACCAAGTAGTCCGCATCTATTAACATGGCTCAGACTAGAGGTGAGCGACTTCAAGCACTGATGCCACGTTTTGGTTTGACCGCCCCTAACTTTCTTCCAACCATTCCCAACACTACTCGGTATTGCACATAGTGGTAATTGGTGTTCCGACATACGTAACACGTGACCCAACCATCTCAGTCGATGAAGATTCATAACCTCATCAACTGATTTACCATCATTCCCTAATACCCTACGTCTAACCTCACTATTACTTGCCCGGTGATCCCAGCAGACGCCAGCAATATTTCTGAGGCATCTGTGGTCAAATACTAGTAGCTCACGAGTGTCTTCTACTCTTAATTGCCATGTTTCGCTGCCTTAAATTAAAACAGAACGGACTGCCAGTATACTCGTCCTTTTATTGATAGACGGATATTTCGCCTTCGCCATAGGTGACGTAAGTTGGCAAAAGCCAAACGAGCTTTTCGAATCCGTGCTGAGATTTCGTCAGACACCAACCCATTAGGGCTGATCAGACTTCCAAGATAAGTGAAGTTGTCAACGCTTTCGATTACTTCACTCCCTATCCTTAGTTCAGGTGTTGACGCAGACCAGTCCTGAAGCAACAACTTGCATTTAGAGGGAGAGAAGCGCCTTCCAAACATTCTGGTATTGTTGCTTAGTGGTACCAAAAGACTGCATTTTATCAGCGTCCTCATCAAACAGGACTATGTCACCTACGTATTCTAAGTCGATAAGTGGACCTCCTGGAAGGAGATCAATACCCGAGAATTCAGTAGACGAGAATGTTATTTCCATCAATAGGTCTATGATGAAGTTAAACAAAAATGGAGAAAGTGGACAGCCTTGACGGACACCATTTGAGTTTGCAAAAGTAGATGACAGTTCGCCATAAGCTCTGACTCGACTGGTAGTGTTCGAGTAAAGAGCCTTCACAAGGTTTATGTACTTCTGAGGTACGCTATTATATATATATATATATCCAAGAACAGGTCAGAGGTTATTAAGGATGGTTGGTGCAATAGTTGAGTGGAGTTCAGAGACAAATGTAATATGTCATCTGATATTCGCCTGATTCCAATATTTAAGAAATGAAATTTACCTTCAACTTCATGTTCCATAGTAAATTCTATATCCTTGTGTGCTTTATTAAACAGATTCAGTAGGTTCATGGAGTGCTTGTAATTGTTGCAGCTAGGAAATATGTCATCAATATATCTATAGTACTATTAATTGCGTGCTTAAGATAATTTTCAATACATAAGGCTTTCATTCATTTCGATTGTCAATCTATTGAGAGAAACCTTTTTTTTTCTTTGCTGATCAATCAATTCTCTTATTTCTCCTTTTTTTCTTTGTACCGATTTATTTAATTGATTTGGTTTTGGAAAAAGAAAACAATTAATAGAAATTCTGTTTATTAAATGAACCTTTAAAAAACAAACAATAATCATCTACAGATGCATTTGTTTATCATTAACAGAAGGATATACATTTAATGTGTTTTTTATTATTTATTTCAATTACAGAATATCTATCTATGTATCTATCTAACCGATTTACCTACATAAAATAAGATCAAGAATAGTAAGATAGAGTTAATGTGTACATTCATTAAAAGAATAATAATAAGATATTTATCATAAACAAAATTCTCTTCTAATAAGTAGTATCTTTTACTTTAATAAATAAAAGAAGAAAATAAAACAGATTCACATAGATTAAACTGAAAAAGAAAATAGAAGAAATAAACAAACTAATGTGATGAAATCAAATGAAAATAATCTTAACTCTAGTACTTTCATCATATTGATAAAGATCAGTTAACATTTTTTTACTAGCTAAATGAAATGAAATTAACAACAACGATAACAATAAGAAAAAACACAACGATAATAACCATGATAATGAATCCAATCAACAATCAATTCATTTCTTACATTGACTTTAATAAGAAAAGAAAGATGATTAATATTATACTACTGTTTTGCTTGTATCTATTGTTGTAAATGATAAAATTATTAAGGTACACTTTGTATTCACTACTATTTTATTATATTCATTATAAAAGATTTGTGAAGATCATTTAAAATTGAAGGATGTATCAGTTTAATCAAATTTCTAGGTATGCCTTGTTGACAAGTGTTCATTTGGAGAAAAATCTAGTTTTAAAGTATCTTACAAACTATATATAAACATATCTTAACACTATGAGTCACTCAGATTATTGACTATGTTGTAAGTCAGTTGACATATGGTCAACTTTGTCCATTGTTTTATCTAAGTTGTCAGATTAGGCAGAATTACCCAATCTTTCCATTTCTCTCCAATTTTCCCATCGATGACGTTTTAAGAAGAGTTCACATGGATGTAGATAGTAGTGGTGTAAATCTGTTATCCGGAGGTAGACTTTATGACAATGAGTATGCGGGTGGTAATATCTTACTGTGAGGTGATATTTAATCATGCAATACGCACTCAATTAGTGTGGAATGTGCGTCCGTAGGTATGACATGTGTTTCACACCTTCTAAGTACAAAGTATTTTTTTTCGAAAATTGAAGAACACTGTGCCCGAAATCACTTTTGTTAGTGAGCAGTTAAAGGTAACCGAAAGTTTTTTCTATCTCGGTGGGAGTGTAAGAGCTAGTGGTGACGTGAGTGATGCGATAAATTAGAGTGTTGCGAAAGCCAGAGTGGCTTGTGATAATGTAATCCATTTTTATTCTGGCTGAAAATTTTTTGGATCTACAGCTTTAATCTATGCTTTTGAAACCAGGCGTCTTCAAACTGAGGATGTTAAGCGACCCTCTGTATTTGATCTTCATTATCTCTAAAA